AAGGGTCTTTGCTGCAGATGAACGTGAAGTGTCCCATAGCAGCAGTACCCGCAGCTCTGCGCAGCGCCACACCCCGATCCGCGCAGGAACCAAGCGCAAGCGCACCATGATGGAGGAGAGCCACGAATCGAGCGTGTCCGACTACAGCGTCTCGGGCACCTCAAAGGGAGAGATTGAGATCGTGGACGCCGACCCAGAAGGAAAATACGTGAAATTGCACAACAAAAGCCAGCAGGAAGTGTCCCTAGGTGACCCCGCTAAAAGCGCGTAAAAGTTCGAATCTAATCTACTGAATTCTAGGTGGTTGGATTATTCTGCGCAAGGCAGGCGGCGAAGAGTCGAAATTCAAGTTCAACCGCTCGTTGAAGATTGAAGCCAAAGGCTTCGTAACGATTTGGTCTTCGGATCTGAACAAAGAGCACGAACCGCCCCATGAATTGGTCATGAAAGGGCAAAAATGGGTGGTGGCCGACAACATGACCACCACTTTGATCAACCTGAACGGCGAAGAAGTTGCGGTGTCCGAAAGGTGAGTTCTACTGGGATTTTTGCCAAACGTTTTAATAACGGGCAGGACTATTGCAGGGTGAAACGGCAAGTGTCCAGCTCACATTTGCGACATCGCGAGGCCGCGGGGTATCTCGGCTCTGAAGAGCTCCATCACCAAAGCGGGGACCCTCAAGCAGACGATGACCAAAAATGTCGACTGATGTGAACCACCCTATAAACTAAGTTTACTGTCGTTAGAAGTTTTAATGCAAAAAGTCGCCTGTGTACTTATTTCACATTTATTACAGTTTCATTTTGCTATCAAATTAGTGATGGATAAAACTAGCACTTTTTGCATTAAAATCCCACTGGACGGACACGGGGGGAAGCTAATTTAAGTCCAGAACGGTTTGTGCCGAGTATTATCAAACAAAGCTGGTCTTCAGCATTTTTTGGTGCGTTGTTGGGGCGAGGTTTCATACGCGCTGGTACCCATTTGGGTAAAAAAGCGCATATTAACCCTTGAACAGTAGGCGGATCATAAACTAAAGCTGCGAAAGCGTTCTTGAAACATTCCAAATCTCCCTTATTGGAATGTTTAAAGAAGCCACACTTTTTCATACACGCAATTTTTATTTTTTCTACTGTCTAAGTCTGCAGGTTTTTCATTTTTCGCAAAACCTGCCAAAAATATATGGAGACTATATATATATTTTTATTTTCTATAAGTATTGCGACTAGGCGATTGTAGTTTAGATTGATCACGCAATTTTGGCACTAAAGATTCGCCTTTAGAACTTTTTTCAGCGGATCCTCCACTAAGTTAGTTTATAAATGTTTTGTATTTCATCTTGTGTTCAAATAAATGTACTGTACACTTATGTTAGGTTTTTAATTTTGTACGTGCCTTACATCGGCAGTATAGCGAGGGTTATTATTCCACATAACACTGTGTCTTAAGGTAGGGCTTGTAGTGGTTGGAGTGGTTCACTAAACAATAAATTAACCGTAGAATAACTGTTTCCTACCTACTGTGTACCTCTCATGCTATATGTTTTACATATTATAACAAGGATGAATAAATCATACTTATATTTTCAACGAGATCTGTTTGTTATTTTGCAAATGCGCACCCCCTGGCTGGAAGATTATACAATACACTAAAAATAGCGGCTATCCAACAATTCTCAGCATTATTATGCCCCCTAGTGATGTCACACATTGTTGGGTCAATATCTTCGAGGTGAATAACATTCTTAAAATACCGCTATGATGTAATGTGATGCTGTTGTCATAACTTACTGGAATGGTGTGGAGAAGGGGCGCCTTGATTCGTAATCGCCATTATAAGCAATCAAGTTTTATTTAAAAAAAGCAACAATTCTTGCAGGTCTTTGGAGCTGCTACAAACTGATTTTTTTCCTGAAATTAAATTGTTTTTTTTTTCAATGAGTCATTGCGATTTTTCTGCACGGAAGGGTATTAGAATTCAAATACATCAAAAATTAAGCTTATCCTTGTCTAATTAAAACATTTTCTAAAAATTGAGACATTGTTTAGATATGCCTACGTCATCAGTAACCAAAAGACCTGTCACCCTGGTGACAGTGGCATTTCGATTGACGCCATCACCTGTCACAATATTAACAGTCATTCATTGCGAAAATGGCTACTACTGTGCAACAACAAAACGTTAGTGATTATTTATCAAACCAGCAAAAGGAAGGCACTAAAGAGCTTGCCAATGAATGGGCCACTTTAGAGGAGTTGCACAACAAAAAGTGAGTTCAATTCGCCCGTTTAGCCTGCGAGTTCAAAGGAACACTTGAGTGTGCTTTTCTAGGCAACAAACACTAGTTTTCTCGGTGTTTAGCAAAGTCCCTCTTCAATTTTCCACCCGGGTGGTCTTTAGGGTTTGGTCGGTTTCACCCAAAACTGCAAACCCAAACCTCCTCTTTGTTGTGCTCTAATAAGTGCATTCGTACAAGTTAACCTCACTTGTCGTTGCTCTAAGAGTGCATATCATCGTCAGTTTTACTCAATGCAACGTGACTTAGAGCTTCGATACGGTCGAAAATAGCTTGCCAATAAACGCGACGAACTAAACCGCAAAATAACATTTTTTCCAGATTATGGCACCAGTTGACTTTGAGGCTGATGGTGTTGATTAAGAAGCCCGAATTGCAGAAAGGCGACCACCTCATCCAACTGTACAACAATTTCATTCAAACGTTCGAGAACAAGTAAGCCGATTGTGATTGTTATGATAGTCAAGTTTCGAAAAATGCATTTGTGAAGGCTTCAAAAAGTATAACTTCCAATCTGGAGGAAGGAGCAACTTGAAACTTTCACATGAATCTCACACCCCTGATTTTTCCAATTCTAGGATAAACCCGCTCTCTTTAGTTGAAATAGTGGCAGTGGTGATTGAACAGTTCAAAGACCCGAAGGAAGCTGTAACGTTCCTGGAAAAAACCGAGCCCAAAGTCAAAGTGAATCCGGATGCCCAAAACTTATGCAAAGGTAATCAGGGAGGCTTTTTGGGGGGACATTTCCAACCCTCCACATTGTTGTTGCAGTTTTGGCTGGGCAAATACACTTGGAAAAGCTCAAGGATTTAGACGCCACTAAGAAGGTGATCGAAGAAGTGGAGAAAACGCTAGATAATGCTGATGGGGTGACTGCAGTCCACGGACGCTTCTATTTGTTAGCTTCTCAGTATTATAGAATACAGGGCGATCATGCTCAATACTACCGCACGGCTTTGCGCTACTTGGGTTGCATTGACTTGGACACCCTTACGGAAGAAACCAAAATGCAGCACGCGTTCTTCTTGGGTTTGGCCGCTTTATTAGGTACGCCTTACAGTTAAAGCTGCGATTGCAGCAGAGCTTAAAATTAAAGGCTTCGCTCGCAATTTCAGGCGAGGGAGTCTACAATTTAGGCGAACTTTTGGCCCATCAAGTGCTTCAATCGTTGAAAAACACCGAAAATAGCTGGCTGGTGGATTTGTTGTACGCTTTCAACTCAGGGGACATTAATAAGTTCGAGCAAATGAAGATCAAGTGGGGCGTCATTGCGGATTTGGCCGCCCAAGAGTTGTTCTTAAGACAGAAAATCTCATTGCTGTGTCTTATGGAGGTGATTTTTCCCGTTTTACTTAGCCGCGTGAAGCACCAAAGGTTTCCCATGATTCCAGATGACGTTCAAGAGGCCTTCCCATGATCGGCAGTTAACCTTCGAGGAGATTGCCCGAGAAACTAAGCTTCCAATCAATGAAATCGAACTTCTGGTGATGAAAGCTTTGTCCCAAGGTTTGGTCAAGGGGGCGATAGATCAGGTAAATCGGAGCGTGTTTAGATAGAGCGTCTCAAACTAAAAAAAAATCCTCATCAGGTTGCAAGCACCGTGAACATGACGTGGGTGCAGCCGCGAGTACTCGACCGAACTCAAATAAAATCAATGGTGGAAAGGCTGAACGAATGGTGCACACATGTGGGCACAATGGAAAAACTGCTCGAGGAAAAAGCCAACGAAATCTTAACTTTGTAGTCCGTAAGCCAGTGTTTTCTGTTCCATTGCAACCGCATATGTAAATTAAGTCATTAAATTCTTAACTAACTTCCCCCCAGTCCATTAACATCAAACAGCGCCGTAAACGTCGATAAAATATATTTATTAAAACTTACAAGAAATATTTTGATTCCTAAGGACGGATACATTGAGTAAACCTCTAAAATGCGCAAATAGAGTATTATATCTAGTAGAGAGTATAATGTAAATATAAAACATCTGTATTGGAAATGGCACTTAACGTTACAAAAACCCTAAATGTCCGCGCCCTTTAAAAGTGTTTTATTTCAGAGTCGTCAGATCCAAACATATCACTTTGCAATTGGAAGCAGATCTATCAATACTGATGTCTTTTAAGTACTTAACCAACGGCCATAAAATTCATTGGATTATCCTAAAAATGACGCTGAAACTGCTTGGGAATGGTGATTTTATCTTGTTAGCTCTGACTGGAAGTTTTCTATCACAATTGGCCGTTAAGGTTCCTGCTGATCAGTGTTCTGCTACATAAAAAACTGCGATTTTCCACGTACAGAATGCAAAATCTTCAGGAATGTATTATTGTCACGGTCGAAATTCATCAGACCCTTGATGTTGAAAATAAGTCCACAAATCCTTTGAAGTATCGCGTCCCATTAAATAGATAAAATCCTTAAAGTTGCGTAGTTATGACGGACTTCCTTATAATGGCAGTTTCCGTCGTGTTCACTTTCGCAACTGGAGAGGAAAGCAGCTCTTGAGAGACGAGCCATGGGGACAGTTTGCTGAGATTCGGGCTCATCGGTGTCGGGACTTTTTCATGAGAATCGCTGTCTTCATTAGACTAAAACCCAACGTGTTAAACGACACTTTTACACACTAATTAAATCATGTTAAATTACCAAACCAAAAACCTACCTCCAAACTATTAACGGGACTCGCACTGCCTTTATCGCTTTTAGTCTCCGTGTCTTCAGCACCGCCTGATATATCCATGAACGGATTGTTCTTACTGAAGACGATACTGTTTGATCCGCTAAACGGATTAAGATTATCGTCTTTCAGATAGTTGGAGAATGGATTCTTGTCTTCAGGCCCCGCTTTTTCTGCTGTATTGTTTGCCACTTGGCAAATCTCTAAATCACCACACAATTTATCGCACGTGAACGCTGGGCGGAAGGAGTGAAAGACAAAACAGCGTTTACAATCTGGCCAGGGAAGGTACGGGGATGTTAAAGTTGTGCAGAAGGACGGATTGGAAGGGGATGTTAAAAAAATCAAACATACCCAATTTCCCATCGTTCATCGCCTGGCCGAAAAATGTGACTGTAATCGGGGTTGTACAGCGCTTTACTGGCTCTTTGGCTGGCTCGATGCTAGACGGGCCACTTACGGTAAGCGTTAGCTTATCGCCGCCCTTTGAAACGAAAATGTTGCATAAGAAGGCTTTAAATCACGCCGCTGTTGAATCACTGAGACTGTTTAAGTAAAACATATAGGCAATTATCAAGAGGCAAATGCCGAGGATGGCAATCAAATAGTAGGTGCATACACAGTAAATTTCGACGGACATTTTACCGGAACTGATGAAAGATGCTGACGTTTCCTTGGACAAGCCTTAAGGCGTTTCTACATTTCTCCTCAACAAAATTATCCAACTTACCACAGCGATAAACGTGGCTGCGCCATTCAAGGTACTCTCCTCTTCCTTGGGAGCCTGAACGAACATCTGATTAGTCAGCTTGGTGTTCTGAATTTCCTCTTCCATTTTCGCTGAAAAACGCAATAAATTCCACACCCCAACTAGACAACAGCGTTGATCCAACCGACCTTTCAAGATGTTGCATTTGATCGACTGTGGCGGCAGCGGTTTGGCGCAGCCTGTGTTTTTAGTGTTATTGGGAATCTCTGCGGGAAGCGACTTAGATCCACTCGAACTCTCAGTTTCTACAGAAGAACACACGTTAATCCAAACAATCCAAATTTAACAATCCAAATTCCTCACCTTCCAGTTTATTGCGTAATTCATCCCTGGCCACACCGGTCATGGACTCCTTTGCCAAACTCTTCAGCAAAAAGTCCAACTGGCTGTCTGCATTTGACGATGTCGGACTGATGGGCGGATTGCTTGTGGGCGTCGTCGATTTATTGCGCTTCAGCGTGCTGCTTTTGCTGCTGCTATGCGATAGAGCCGGGCTAAAACAATAAAGGTTAACTCTCAAGGGCCTTAACTAGTTTAGTGAGTCTACCTGTTGGCCAAACCACAAGCTATGGACGATTTCCCGAATGAATTCTGACCCGCTGAGCCTTTGCCGAAGCTACTCTGGCCAGTCAAACCTAGCGAGCTCGGCCCTAAAAACGCCAATTTTATAGCGACGGTTTCCGGTCCTCAAACAAGCGCTTACTTGTGGGCGTCGATGGCGTTGGAGTCAAACTCTTAGTGAGATCATCTTTAACTTGGCAATAAATTGGCTCATCGGTGGCATTTGATCTGCTCGAACGCTCACTACATCTGCTGGAGGACGGCTGGATAATCTGTTTTCCCGAGGGACCGTCGCTGCTTTCCCCGGTTTGAGCAGTTTGCTGCTTTTGCCGTTCTCTCAGCACGTGGCTTTGCCGCCTGCCGTATCTAAAAAACACTTTTTTGCCTCAACCATACAGGGCAATGGAATGCGTACCTCTGGCTGGGCTTTCGCTCCAACTGGACTGTTCTTCGCGCCCTATTTTGGTAAGTGCTCTGATACTCGGTGCGGCCGGAATAGCGGAACCGCGAACCCATCCGGAAGAAATTCTGGCGGGCCGAGGGGCCTTTGACTGGCGCCCGCAGGCGAAAGAATCCATGATGTTCGACGGCGCACTTCCATAAGTGTTTGCACGCCTTTTCATTGTGAAGCCTAGACGATTGTAAGTTGGGATATCTTTGCTTAAGGTGATTTGTGTGGGAACGCAAATAAAAAGGAGATATCTGCAACTTATGTGGGATGGTCCCTGGTTTTACCTGAAAACAAACGTGTGCTCCTGCTCCCGGCCTTCGTCGTCATCTTCTACCACTACGAGCGTTAGTTTCTTTTTCTTGAAGTTGAGTTTGCTGATTTTGGGCCAGAAGAACAGCCCGATTTTTATGTTCGGCTCCTCGAACACGAGAATCCCCGTTGGGGTCAGGCCCAGTTTATATTCCATGCTGTCCTTGCCCTGAAACGTGCAAATTTGCAGTCCCATTGGATTGCTAATTACGGGGGAACAAGCCTACCAAAACTGTGTGCATATCCACTCCGTACATCTCCAGCCACTTCACCTCGTTCAAGTAGGCCTGCTCCGCATTGGCGGGCGAAAGCCCCTTGTATTTCTTGAACTCTTCCACTATGTCAATTTCCATTTCTTCCGTCTGATTGGGCACAAATCGAAACTCAGACACTGTGGCTGCCGTATGTTGGGTTTCATCGTAATCGCCCAATTCAGCTGCGTGCAAATTGAACTCTAACTAACCCAAACTAACCAACTGATTATCAAGATACTTACACTGCAAAGCATAGGCTGCTAGCTTAACAGCTGTCTCAAAAGGACAGTCGAGTCTTCCCTCTAAAATGTCCTGTTTCAGTTGCAAAAAGAACTGGTACCTGGTCAATTCCTCTCGCAAATTATTGGGTTCCGACGAGTAGAACTTTACTTTAAGGCGCAAGGTATAGGGCGGCCCAACTAAAAGTGATAAAACCCTCCTCAATCAAGCAAATAGTGCAACTTTGCGGCCAAATCATGCAAACAACCACAAACAAGGCTTTACAATTAATTCGATTGATTGCCTGTGGCAAACACTCACTTTTAATTTGCTTTTTTACAGTTTTGGTTGGGTCTAACCAATGTTTCACATGATTGGCATCGGTGAATTGCAAGCCAAAGTAGTCTTTTTCTATGAGGTCCAATGAGTAAAATACTTGTTCATACAAGTCTCTGGCTTTGGCTTTTTTCTGGAAGCAGAAATAAACACGCCGTTAAAACCACCTCGATTTGCTAATGCAAAGCATTCAGAGTTTCCTCATCCATCTGCAAAAATGGGTATGAAACATGCGGGTGAGAACTTTAAATATCAATCTAACAATGGGTTTGTTCACTTTCTAATCTAAATGTTTACAGTCCATTGTCTTCTTGGGAATCAATCTTATTCAAGGATTTGACTCTTATTATGTTTGATTTGATATTAGATTATATAGCTTCAAGGAAGTGGGTAGGAAGGAGCCCGTCTGGTCAAATTGTCTCTAACAGTTATTTAATGCAAAAATCCCCATACTTAATGCGGTTGCACAAGTGCCACTTAGAACATTACAGTGATTTCTTCATTGAAGTGTAACTGTACCCACTTAGAGTATTTAGCAAGTTTGAAAGCAGGCAGGCAGTTCAAGATCATTAGGCCAGTGCCCCAATTATTCGGTTTATGCAAAAAATTCCGCCCTGGGGACAGGAACTGCGAATTTTTCACATGTAAATCTACCAAAAAACCTTCAGGAGCTACGGTTTCCCCAGTGGCAGCCAGGAGAGTTTCAATATTGGCTTCACAGGTGGTTGCCACCCAATGTAAACTTACCGAAAGCTCCACACTCAGATCGGTGCCATCCAAAAGGATCACTTTGCACTGAATCAAATGTTTATTCGCATGTTTACCGGAATGTTTGCCACTCGTTCTATCGCCCCCCGCATTTCTGGCCTTGCGGCCACTCAAAAACCGAAACATTGTGGTCCACTCACTCAATCACACAGTCGTTAAGTCTGCGACGACCTCATTTGAGTCTTCTAGGTTAGAACGACGCGATCCACTCAAAACCCACGATAAACTTCATTAATCGTTAATAACGCGATAATTACCAGGCAATTAATCCAGTGCCAAACACATAAACGCCATGCCATCAACCCATTGAAAACGCCATATTTATTTTGTTTATTTGTTTGACAGGCTTCACATTGACACTGCCCTCTGTTGGCGTGGGAATTGACAGCGCGGTTTTTCGGGAAAGACAAGGATGGCAGGAGCTGAAATAAATAATTATGCAATTAGTTTCTATAATGAATTTTCCTTAATGGTCGTGAAATTTATTGGCCAAATTGCCCGTTTAATTATGGGAAAAGGTGCGTAATTTTTTTAATAAAATTTAAAGATTTTAGTTGAATTTCAGTAGATCATAGGGTTTAATTTGGAAATGTTCTAATGGTAAAACGGGTTAAATGACGCCGAACGGCGGAAAAGTTGCCCGAAATTCGATAAAAATGCCGTAAAAAGTGCAACATCAATTCACAGGTAAAGCGAGCCTCAATCAGATGGCTTGGGGTTTGGCACGCCTCGCGACGGACGTAAAATGAAGCTGCCCGTCCTTCCCAATCGTGGCTTGTGTAGATCCGATCGCGGCTTGCCCTCAAGACGGATAACAAAATTTCAATCCAGTTAGCGTCAGTATTCATCTATGGTTAGCATTTGTTATCGTGTGAAACAACTGAACCGTTATTTATTAACAGATTTGACAGCATAGATATGGAATGGACCAATGAGCTGGTGATGAAATTCTTGGACTTGTTCGAACGAGAGGAAGCGATTTGGAATGGCGATCACGAGCTGCACAGAAACAGGGACTTTATCCGAGAATCGTGGCTCCGAATCAAAACCGATTTGGGCGGTCAGTGGTCAGTAGCGGAACTAAAAAAGAAAAAGGAGTCGCTGATGTCGACGTTTCGGAAAATTAGTCAAAAAATCAAAAAGAAGCACTCAACGAACAAGCCGCACAAAACAAATTGGTTTGCCTATGCAAAAATGGACAAATTTCTGCACAACCACTACCGACCTGTTGTTTTCAAATACCCAAGAGTGAGTATATATTTAGCAATCTTTGGACAAATTATTACAGTTGCCTACAGTTTCCCAATCACAAATAAAAACCGTTTTTTCTAGGACTTAATTCAAGACGTCGACACGCCTGAAACATCCCAAAGAATAAGCGACGACAATTCCGATTCATTGTCAGACACCCCCTCACAAGAGAGTTCGTCCAGTAGTTGGCAAGATGCCGTTCCGCCGAAGAAAATAAAACTGAAAGAACCCTTAATAAAGACGAAAAATCGCCCAGTCGAAGACTGTTCGAATTCAAGAAATGCAACCGACAATTGCTCTCTTTATGGCGAGCTGTTGGCCAACAAATTGAAGGACTTCGACCAGCACAAGCAGCAGTTGGCTATGCTTCAAATAGACCAATTAATGTACTTTTTAAAATATCAAAAGCTACCGAGTGCCAACCCATTCAACTTACAGCCACAGCCAGACAAAGTTGACAAGCTTGCAAATGGTTCGGCCAACTAATCAATCCCGGAAACTGCATATATTTTCATAGCAGAAAAATGTCTTTGACATTGTACGTTGCAATATACACATACATGTTCAATGAAATCATTAAATTTTATTTTAAATCCTTGCCTGGACATGTTGAGCAATTAGATAAATAATTTAGGACTAGCCCACAATATCTCTCACTCAGTCGCTCACACGCATGTATAGGCGTGAAAAGAACGGATTTTTTTACGATACAAATTTAAACCGAAGTTGCTTAAAAAGGGACCAAAATGGCATTTCAAAAGCAGTTTCTACGAAAAATACTCCTAAATTAAGCCAAACCACAGAGAACCCTGAACCAAACAGCAACACTGTAGATGTCAACGCACTTAACCTAAACTGTCAGGAAAATTCAAATTTGTTCATTGTCAACATTCTCAGGCAGACAGTTACAAATTCCATTAAAACCTGTGATTAAAACGCGACCGTTTTCAGGGTGAGTTGAAATGGCTTTTGTTGTTTTCTTTATGGTCGCAACTTTCAGGCGGCCGATAAGCGTGAGTATTTTGACAAGGATTTTTCGCTTTTTAGACTCAAAACCGCTTCGCAGAGTTAAACTAAACTAGTCAAAAGCCCTGTGAAACTTTTGTCAAGCTACCTAGAATATGCCGGAAAAGCGAAGGTCCATTCACGAGCTTTTGGAGCCTTCACGAAGGACATCGTTGTTTGAGCAGCCGGGAGAGGAGGGACGCAGCGATGCCCAGCTGAAGGAATGGGAGAAAAGATGGGGCTACATTAAGCCGGATTTTGTAAATGTTATTTCGTATCCAGATGAGAATGCTCGAGCCTGTAACAAGGAAAACGATGACTGGACATCGGGGTTGAAAATTGCCCTAGAAGAGTAAGAACTTGAATCCTATACAATCAACGCGGAATATTGGAATTATTTCTGTTGTTAGAGCTGGGAGGAATTCCGAAAAACTTTGTAGCCCCCAAGTCATATCGTGCAACTTATCAAACGAGCAGAAAGTCTTTTCAGCATGTATAGAGTCCAAAATTTATCAGTTTTTGCAAACTGCCAGCAACATGGCACGGGATGTTGAAATTGAAGCGTTCCAGAAGCTCACATTGGATGAAGACTGGGGCTTCAAATTGGTGGAAAGGCTAATAACATCAAAGTTGGAGAAATAAGTGTTTATACCATTAATATTCAGTCACCCCTGTATCGTACAATATTGTTTTCTGTTTCATGGATCTCAACCTCATGCAACCATTCAGGATGGTCCATAATTTCCTGCATACGCTTCCAACAATAAACGGCCACATTCTCGGTTGTGCTCGGTTTATCTTTGAAATACTCTATATCTTTGTCAATGTTCTTATGATCCATCGGTTTCATTATAGCCGCTTCCATGTACTTCTTCAAATGGGTGAGATTCATTAGCATTCCAGTCGTTTTGTCGATTTCCCCAAACAACGTCACTTTAACTGAAAAGCGAACATTGATGTGGGCTTTTACACGATCACTAGCTGGCACGTACTTATGTAATTATGTCCGTGACCATTAGGATGGTTGCATTTGCCAAAAACTTCCTGGTTCATTTCGTCAGATAAATATGGGCTGCAAGTTCAAAGCAGAACCAATCAGAAATTAACATTTTACGATGCAGCTGCTCACTATTGGGATTGAGTTAGAGAAGTTATTGATATAAAAATGACTGTATGTTTCTAGTAGAATGTTTAGTAGTTGATTATTGTTACTTGTAAGTGGTAAGATCCACATCTTACCTATGAAGTCTGTGGCAAGCTGACAAAGTGATTCGCCTCGTTTGGTAGCATTTTGGGGGCTTTTGAATGCTGCTCATGATGATTTAGAAAATCTATTGAATCAAGAGCAATGTTCAGTCAATACGGACACGGTTGGGCAGCTGCAATACTTTGGCTGTTGCTCATTAAATATTCCTTGAACGATTATTTACTTTCTAACCTGGTCCACACATGTCATCCTTGCGCTAAACTCGTTTGGCTGATTGTAATACAGTCACCATGCAGCCTACTGTCATTTTATGCGCGCTTGCCAATGAGTATGGAAAATCTTTGAATTATTTCTAGCACTATTTTTCCTTGTTATTTGCCCCAACTCCCGCTGACTCTACTAGCGATTGAAAATGCTGACCTAATGCTCTGTTTGTGGTGGTTCTCTGGCAAAATAACTCCAAATATTAGACGAAATTTTCGCATTTCCTAGCTAATTCATGAAAATTAGCCGCATCAATTTGGCAACAAAAATAAAGGAAATCCAAGATGGCGCGAGCCATTTTGACGGGCTGAGCCAGTGTGACAAGTTTTTCGGATTATTTTTAATATTTGTGTTTGTTTTTGATCAAAATTACCCAACCCATTTCAGTTCCTGTCCGGTGCATGTGTGTGTGCAGTGAAACTGTCCGAAAAACAACTTAAGCCCCGGAAAATCACCAGGAAAAGTTTACAACTCATCACAACACCTCAAGATTTTTTTGTTTTTTCGATATTCAGGGTCAGGCCTTCTTATTGGCAATTCTCACGCAGGGGGGCTCAGGGAAAATATAGTTATCGGAAACAAACACCGCAATCTTCAAAAAACTGCCAAATCGAACCGATGTCACTCCAAATTCATCTAGAGCAACAGATATAGTTAAGAAGATCAGAATCAAACACAGAAGGTTTTAACGGCTGATTAACCATGGAAGCAATCCAGTACGAGTTAGCTCGCAACATGACACTGTTGTTCTTTTTTGAGCGGTTGCTGGATAAGGGCGAGCCGCGCACTTTACACGACCTCAGTTGCCAATTTGGCTCCAAAGGATTCACGAAGGAAATGAGGCAAATCGCTGGGGGGTCTCAGAGTGGGCTGAAAAAGTTTCTCGCCCAGTACCCGTCGCTGTTTTCCATGGAGGGAGAATATGTGACGATCAGCACCTTCCAACACTCTGGAAGCAAGAGCTCAACAGGTGGGCAATCATTTAACAAGTATTTTACTAGATCTTTAGCAAATCAGCTACAATGAAACAATCACCATGTTGTTCTGTTGCACAAAAAAAATTCCCGCTTTCACAAACCCATTCACACACTTTGCATTGTCTAGACATACCTACTATTGTAAATATTGGCAAACGCTAAACGCACTTGTGCAATTGCAGGCACCAAAGACTACAACACCCAAGCAGTGGAATACTTTTCTGAGAAACTGCTCCAGTATGGGGAAGGAACGGAGGTACCTATTCGGAGCCTTTTGGGGCACAGGTATGAACGCCCCGAAGCTCTAAAAGGCCCCTAATCGACTCACTAATTCTTGCTAGGTCTCAGGCTTCGCCGGAAGTTCGCCACGTGTCCGGGCAACATTTCCACGAGTTTAGGGAGTTTCTGTTGAAACACCCCAAAACCTTTGGAATTGACGATGAAAAGGAAACTGTCATTTTAACTAATTATGAAGAGGTAACGTTCTAATCCCATAGGATTTTCATGCGGCAGCCTTAAGCACAAGTCCATATTCCAGGTTCGTTTGCAATGCCCAAATACTGAACTGCACTTTCATCCGGATGCGCAAATTGATCCGCAAGAAACCCAAACTCTATTGGACTTCTTGGCCGAATGCATCGAAGTCAAGGTGAATAATCAGTGTTAAATACTGTTAATTAGCATTCATTCAACATTAAGTATTAATGAATATTTTCCTTCAGGGGCCGATATTAGTAGAGCAGCTCTTCCAGATAGTCAGTTGCAATATGGATGAGAACGTCTGGTCCAACCTTTTCAATAATCCCACTCAACTGTCCAGCTTTCTACGACTATTCTCGGATAGCTTCCACATCCAGTCCAATCTGGTGACTTTGCTGCAGAGCCCCAAGATTAGCCAAAAGCACATCACTGCCCAGGTAGGAGCTTTGAATCCTGCCGTTTTGCCTCGCCCTCACTCTTGATGCTTGCAGGTGGATTTAATCAAAGAGAACAAACTGAAAGAACAGGAGAGAAGCAACGAAGAGGCGAAGAATGCCAAAAACATTTCCAATAACATTGCCAGCGAAAAGGTCGATCCGAAACTTCCAACGCAAAACTCCGTAGAAAAGGTAGTATTTCCCGGGCGACTGACCGAAAATACTGAGGCATTTGTTTAGGTTGATAGAAGTCCCACACAGAGTCCGGTTCAGTCGGCCCCACTTAGTCCTAGATCGATTAGTGACAGGCTGAAGCAGCCGAAGTTGCTGCAGAAGAGAGTGGAGGCGCAACAACAGAAATCCTTAAGCCCCGAACCGCCAGCTCCCCAAAGTGCGCCCATTGAAGACAAGAAAGTGAACTTCAAAATCGGTAGGATTCATTAAAAAACTTCCCGCGGTTTCTCAACTGTCAACTAATTGAAGGAAAACAAATCACGCCAGTGACTCAGACGGCCCCAGAAAGCCCCGAACTATCAATGGTCGACCCTCGGAATGTCGTCACTAAGCAAACGAACTACAACCAGAGCTTGAAGCAGAGAATCAACAACTTGGTGTTGAAAACCTTGCAGGAAAACACCGGTAGGGCTCTAGAGGAAGGTCCCCCTTTTTGTGAACAAGTAGGCTAAAATGTTGTGCTTGTTTCAGGCCGAGATCGCCAATCCATGCTAAACCAGCAACCGTACAATGACACCTGGAAGATCAAACTGTTTCAAAACACCCGAGTGATTTGCAGTGTGCGAGAATGCCAGATGGTGACTGATGATATTTTGGCTAGGAAAAATAGCAAAGTTAGTGAAACCCGAGATCTGCAACAACTTTGGTTGAAACAATGGACTTTCAGGCATCCAACAGCGACTGGCCATTTACAGAGGACAAAGTGATCGTCGGCTTGGACTGCGAAGGAATTAATCTGGGCGTTAAAGGCCAGTTGACTCTGCTGCAAATCGCCACAATGGCCGGATTCGCTTATGTCTTCGACCTGATTTCCTGCCCTCAAATGATCGAAGCCGGGCTGAGGAGAATTCTGGAAAGCCCCGATGTTATTAAGGTTTTTTGAGTGGCAATCCAAAATTTCCACACCACCAACATTACCTATGAACTTTCAGATTGTCCACGACTGTCGCAATGACTCAGTAAACCTATTCCGGCAATTTAACATCGTGTTAAATTGCGTCTTTGACACTCAGGCGGCTCACGCAGTGCTAACTTTCCAAGACACCGGTCGCCCAGTTTACAAGGCGAAAAGCGTCGCCCTCAATGCGCTGTGTGAATTATACGGAGCCACCATCAATCCGATGAAAGATCAGCTGAAGAACATTTACAGGTAGTTTCCATATAGGCAATGAATTACAAGACAATGGGTGAAATGTGCTGTTTTCAATCAGGCGCGATCAAAAGTACTGGTCCAGACGGCCACTGACTAGGGAGATGATCTTGTATGCTTCTGCGGACGTGCTGAGCTTGGTCAGCGAGAAAATCTTCTCGGCCATGGCCAGTGCCATTGCCGAAGACAACCGCAAACTTATGATGGAATTGTGCGAGGAACAGGTGGGTTGCGATTGACCACACAAAACGACAATCTACATAAATTCTTCAGGTCTACTTGCACATCAGTCCCGATGAGGTGAAGCTGAAGAAAAGACAGAGGAAAACTGAAACGGAAGTGAAGGAACTCAGGGCCAAATTGGCACAAGCTGCCAAGAGCATTGTACTTAGCAATAGAGAAGTGAGACTGTTACGGTAAGCCGCTTAGCGTCTTTGATGCTTGATGTACGCCACTCGCTATTTCCCTTTGTGTATAGGTATATTGAGTTGACAGAGGAGGAAAAGGAGAAGCTGAAGTCCTCAGCGAAAGTTGCCAAGAAACTGGAGAAACTAGAGAGTCTGGGGCAGGAGAAAGACAATGAGAGTTCCGATGAGGACGGAGAAAACGACGACGGTTACCCTAGCTTTGATAGGTAAAGCTCTCCATTGAAACAGTGAATGTTTTGAAGAGTTTTTCGATATTTTCAGCGACATGACTTCGCCTAGAAACTCCGAGCCCACGAGTTTAACTGAATCTATGCAACTAGTAGATTCAATTTTAAACGACAATAAAATAGACCGCCTGGATAAGATCGACAAGCTGGGTAAGTTGGCGGGATGTATTTTACGTTTCTTTGGATTTAATCGCAATTATTCCAGAGTCCATCCTCAGTTCGGCGGCTTTACTGCCAACTGATGGGGAGCCAGCAAAGTGTTGCTGTAATTGCCACAATAATAAAGTCAACGGGTTGAAAGTTGATCGAGTACTCTCTCCTACTAACGAATACGTTAGTAGCATCTTAGAGGTGGGCGACATTGTAGATGCCAAGGAAAACCACAGCAACGTGAGCACCCAGACGCTCAGCACTGGTGAAATAGTGGTGACGAAGATTTTTTTCAATGAAGCCACTGATTGAATAATTAGTGAATTAGTGGCCATTTTATAGCTCGGAACAAAAGTGGTAAGCTTTCACAACCTCGAATTGTATTCGTTTATATTTGCTTACCACACTTGAACGGAGGATATAATTTAACAATCTTTGGTTGTTGATTATGACCATTGAAGCAAACAAATCAAAAACTAATATTCTTTTTGATTAGATCTGATTTCAGAATCCATCTGATTTTAGACAGCTGTTAACAGCAATAATGTCTTCTTTAACTTAGTGGTTCTCCAACTGCACCTCCACTTTTTACGAGGTACAGGAACACTTAGCTGTAAGTGATCTTTATACATAATCATACTAATGCTCAATAACGTTTTTATCCTAAATAAGAAAACCTACAAATAGTAGAAAAGTATCCAAGGGCCTTAACCATGTGCATTATAGAATAGGTTTTAGAATGTTTTCAATCAAATGTGTATACTAGAGTTTTAGTCGGCAATTAATCCTGCGGTTTTGCAGCAAACTGGGTGCTCTAAGTAGAACGATTTTTTGTGTTTGTCGAGTGTTTCAGGGTGATGTGACACGATTGCAAATTCGGGGTTTTATGTAACCAACAATGTTCCATGGATTGTTACAAGAAGTTTTCCAAACTCACCCTGAACTTGGTATTGTGATAAAGTTGTTTAGTGGTAGATTCATGTTAAGCATATTTATATGGAAGGAAAAAAGACCGTGCCTTAAATCTAAACTGATAGTCTCACGATTGAACCCGTAAATTTTACCCTTTTTTATTTGATCGACTAAAAACCATTGTTTAGATTCTATGGATAGTACTAGTAGGTAATCGACTGCAATTATAAGTTTTTTATATTAGAAAATTGAAAGCAAACTTGTATAGAATTTGCCGCCATATTTCGTTGTACACTGTGCGTGCGTTCTGTAACTTTATATTGTGTTTACTACAATTGTCCATGCAGTATATTGCATAGTTGTTTCTTAGCCAAGAGGTTTAGTCTATGGACCTGATTGTATACTATCAAATGCAGCGCATACGTTTAAAATTGTTGTCTATAGAGCGAATCCATGGCTAAGTAGGTATAGCTAATTTTTTATTTATGAATTATACCTATATTTATTGGAGGTTTTTACGTCTTAAAGCCGTTTTAAGACAGTGAAGACCCTAACAATGTTATTAACTCTAATAAGCAATATTTGTGTATTATTAATACATATTATGTTTGCTGGGAATGGTTTAATAGACTTATATTATTATTTTATTTGTTTTTGTTAGAGTTTTTGTATTAGTTGACATTTCAAAATGTTAGCATCGGTTAACTCTTTGTTGGAAACCGCTTGTTTTTCTAATTTATTAAAATTGTTTCTGTTAAACTTACTCAAGAGTTTAAAAATCCCGCGCTTATGACCACATGCGCCTCTAGCGGAAAGTGTGGGCAACTGCAGCATTGTGCTGGGCAATAACCGCTCACTTGGTGAAAATTTGAAAACTGCACTATCAGGCCCGAAATGGCGCAAAATGCACGGCCGGAAAAAGCAGTCTTACTTTGCGATACTTTTTTAAGCCCTGCAAGCGCTAAAACCGGCAAAATCACCAAAAACACTATACAAAAAATCCACACTGACGTTCGCGGCGCCATTTTTTTTACTACAGCGCTGCCGCTACTTCGCAATATATAACATAATCGAAAATTTGTGGTATTAATACCTACCAAAAGCGTGACATGCATGAATGAATGAATGCACATTAATTTTAAAAACACACCGTGGCAACATACACGTTTTTTTGTATACTTTTGAAACTATTTTGCATAATTAAAGGGTTCATAATGCAGAAAATGTTTTAAAAAAACGGGATAGTAGGAGGAAAAAGGTAAATATCGGCAACAATGATAATGATTTTGAATACTCACCACAGGCGTACTGGCTGAAAAGTTCCTTGAACTCGGAGCACTTTATTGCAAACGGGAAAAGCGCACCCCAATATAAAAAAAAAAGGAAAATCCTTCAAGCGCATTTGTCCAGCAATACTTTGCAACACTTCTCTCGGCCGTTTGAGCACTAAAACCCGCGAAATATTTAAAAAACATTGGACGATAATGCTACACTGACTGAGCCGGCAACATTTTGAACTACAGCGCTGCCGCTGCTTGTCGAATTATTTTATTAGTGTTGCGGATTTTTATAAAACTACCTTTGTTGTCTCAAAAAAACACATTTTTAAAAAGTTTCTCTCCGATTTGGAAAAATAATGTTCCATAGGCGTTTGTTCAACCGCAAAAATTACAATCTGTATATATTTTATCTGTTAACACCTTGGAAGGAAATACAATTTACAATGGCAATATTACACTGTATATAATTTGGTTTTTTTCGTCACCATTCAACGACATATTCCCGAAGGCGATACCAACACAGTATATTTCGGAGCATTTTGAAGTTTCATGTTGCAGTCAAAAAATCGGGTTAGTTGAAAGAAAAACGTAGATACCGGCAACAATGGAAATGATTTCGAATACTCACCACAGGCGCACTGGCTGAAAAGTTCAATGAACTCGGAGTTCTTGATTGCAAAAGTGTTTCCCAACGTAAATAAAATGGAAATTCTCCAAGCGCATTTGCTCAGCAACACTTTGTGACACTTTTCGCGGCCCTTCGAGCACTAAAACCGGCAAAATTTCCAAAAAACTATGTTCGATTGTTCTACACTGACGTTTAGTTAGCAGCATTTTGAAACTGCAGCGTTGCCGCTGCATCGCAAAGCTCCTAAGTCATGTGACCGCCAGCTAATCTAGCTGGCCTTGTCAGAGATATTCAGCTAATAAAATGCCATTGGAATTGGGAAATTCCTTTTCCTTTCACTGTTCGCGTTCGGCAAATGCGAAGGCGCGGTTTAGTTGCGATCCAAGAAAGTGTAAATGCGAATTCCGTGACTGAATCATGGGCTGCAATTCATCGAAAGCGAAACTTGACATCAGTAAGTGTTCATTTGTTTCCAACACTGTCAAACCAAAGGGCAAAACATCAGCGAAGATTAACCTCAAAATAATTGACCAGAAGTCAAGGCCTAATAGGGCAAAAATTGCCAACTATGTATTGATTTCTTCGCCTAGGGTGTTCTTGGGGCTTCGCCCAACTAGCAGCTGCAGTGTCAAGTGTCTGAAAGCTGCGCCAAAAAAGTAGGATGGCATGTAAATATGTTGTGTTTACTAACAAGTTTTGTGTGTTTGAGGGGCCCTGTGTGAGTTCCTAGGGCTGCCTAGGCACTGACGGGTGATTGTGTTTTGCTTAATGGGGCCCTAGTGTGCTTACGCTAGATTCCAGAAGGCTGTCTAGCCCGGGCTATCTGCTTATCGCAAAATATGTTTGATGGAAATGTTATTTATATTAGTGTATTTTTTGTGACACGCAGAGATAATGCCTTGAATGATTGGGGCATTATATAACAATTAATAATACTCAGTATGCGTGTTTTGCCAGTGAATCGTTCAAGGGAAGTAGGTAGTTAGGTGGCTACTTTATATCAATTATCGCTTCAGACACTCATCAGCTAATAGCGCTAATCTGCCTAGTGATTATTGCATGTCATGATTTGAAAAACACTTAGTAGCAGTCAATGGCGAATTAATTGATTATTCGCCTCCCCGTTTGGTTGGAAGCAACATAATCGCAACCAGCACACACGTTATGGTTGAAGCATTTCAAACTTGACCTATTTGCAGGCTGGAATTTCAACCAAAGACCCATTCGAATAAGTCACGGTCATGCTGGTTCGCAGTAGAATGACCCGTTCATTTGCATGTGTTACGAAAAACCGTCGTTTTTGGTCCACGGTTGATTTTTCCACCGACAAGTTTCAAGGTAGCTAAGAGGAGTCTAGATTAGGTATTACCAGAATGTGTTCTATGCAATATCGAAGTATTCATTCGGATTCGAGATAAAAATATCTCGAATTAATTGTGCACCGCTTTGATGCAATGCGAGACGTTTAGTTGGAAGGAAAACAAGCAGCTAAAAGCAAAGCAACGCAAAAACAGTTTAATTAGGCAAAGCTTTCGAATAAAAAACCAGAGAGAACATTCTATCAACAGTTAATTCGATTATCCAACCCGAGAATTCGTAATCTCTCGATTATGGAAAAAATCGATTCAGTACAGGGTTATTCACGCTATACGGCACGGCCGTTTGCGGCTAGCCCGTTTGTTTTTTGCAAAGTATTATTTGATGAATCGGCAGACGCCTATCGGGTGCACATTTTAAAAATATTTTTGTAATGTAAGCCCTAAAAGTATCAAAGTTGTGTTTTTCTAAATGAAATCCCCTATATATTATTGCATTTTTGGATTCTCTGAGCAAAATAAGTGTTTGTTTTAGTAAGATTTATAATGTCTAAATCTAAACGTTTTTTAAATAATTCGAATTTTATCAAAATCTAATATTATTTTCACGTGTCAAATACTTTAGAATTATTTAAGTTATGTAAACGTAATTCGTAGTGTAGTGTAAGAAGTAATCATATTTTATATCCCAATGATAATAAAGTTACCATTTTATACAGGGTGTCCACAAATTTAAACCAATCAAATAAGAACCTCAAGTGGCTATAACTTGATTAATTTAAATACAACCCCATATTTTTTAGCTTACCAGGAAATGCAGTTTTTAATTACCTATCGAATGGTAATGGTTTTTATTAAAAGGTTAAATAACATATCAACAATAACATAAAACAAAGGCAAATTATTTATAACAAATGTTCGAAGTGTTGACCGTC